TGACCGGGATGGAGTGCACCCCACCGATGATAAGGTAAAGGCTATAAAAGAGGCACCGAGGCCCTGTAATAAAAAAGAGTTGCAGTCCTTCCTCGGACTGCTCAATTTTTATCACACCTTCCTACCTCACAAGGCGTCGGTGGCGGCACCATTACATGCGCTCCTGCACAAGGACGTGAAATGGCGGTGGGGACCTGAGCAGGAACGGGCATTTGAAGGTGTTAAAGCTTTATTGTCTTCCGAGGCTGTCTTAACCCACTATGACGATCAGAAGCTGCTAGTTCTGGCCGCCGATGCATCTCCGTTTGGGGTGGGGGCTGTGCTCAGCCATGTAATGGAGGACGGACGGGAAGCCCCCGTCGCGTTTTATTCGAGGTCGCTGTCTGATACCGAAAAGAACTATGCACAAATAGACAAAGAAGGGTTGGCACTGGTATCAGCAGTGAAAAAATTTCATGATTTCTTGTTTGGGAGGCGGTTCATTCTTGTGACTGATCACAAGCCCTTGCTTGGGATTTTTGCCCCGGACCGGCAACTCCCAAACATAATGTCAGCCCGGATGCTTCGCTGGGCCTTGTTTCTGTCGGCCTACGACTATGATCTGGAGCACCGGCCGGGCAAAGCCATCGGACATGCGGACGCTTTGAGTCGCTGCCCTCTGCCCGGCCAGGACTTGGACCCTGCACCAGCCAGCTCGGTGTTGGCGATCGAGGAACTGCCTCAAGCTCCTATCACCTCCAGAGACATTGCCGCTGTGTCGGCTAAGGACACTGTGATCTCCCGAGTTTTAAACTGGGTTTGGAGGGGGTGGCCGATGGGAGCTGTGGAACCGGAGTTCCGAGTTTTTAAAGCGCGCCAAAACGAGCTGTCTGTCTCTAAAGGGTGCTTACTGTGGGGAAACCGGGTGGTAGTGCCCAAAACACTAGGGCAGAATGTGCTGAAATCACTACATGAGGGCCATCCAGGCATGGTCCACATGAAGGCACTAGCCCGTGGCTATGTCTGGTAGCCCGGGCTCGATGCCGAAATCGAGGATTGGGTTCGAGTGTGTGAACCCTGTCAACAGGCTAGGCCTGAACCACCAACCGCTACTCCGCAAAAATGGGAGTCAGCCGGGAAACCTTGGTCGAGGCTCCACCTCGATTTTGCGGGGCCTGTCCAGGGGCAAATGTTTCTGGTGATTGTGGATGCATATACGAAGTGGCTGGAGGTTGTGCACATGCACTCTACCACTTCCGGGGCCGTCATCAATGTGCTCCGGCACCTTTTTGCCACCCACGGGCTGCCGGACGTGTTGGTGAGTGATAACGGAACTCAATTTACCTCAGAGGAGTTCCAAAGGTTTCTAGATGACAATGGCATTCGGCAGATAACCTCCGCCCCGTTCCACCCGGCCTCGAACGGCCAGGCGGAAAGAATGGTTAGGACCACTAAAGAAGCCTTGAGTAAGCTGGTATGTGGTGATTGGGGGGTGAAACTTGCTTCATTCTTGTTAAGACAACATGTTACCCCATGTTCGGCGACCGGTCGCAGCCCGGCCGAGATGTTAATGGGTCGCCGTTTAGCAACGCTGTTAGACAGGTTGCATCCTGACCTTAATGAATTGAAACCACATCAGCCAAGCGAAAGTCCGAAGGTCCGGATATACGAAAAAGGTGAGCAAGTGTATGCTCGTAACTATGCCAGTGGTCATTCGTGGCTTCCAGCCACTATTGTTGATGTTATTGGGTCACGAATGTATGTGGTACGGCTTGCAGATGGTCGCAAGTGGCGTAGGCACATAGACCAGTTGAGGCAACGGTGGGCAACTGACCGTCCCAACGCGCTGCCAACTGAGTCCCCAGACCCCGAGGACTTCCCACGACCTCTAGAGGAGGCGAGTACTGCCGAACCTGAGGGCCACAGTACTGGGCAAGAGGCAGGGCAGACCCCTACTCTTGGGACCCACTGGAACGGACGGGAATGTTCCTGACTCTGAGGTCCCAGAGTCAAGCGGAGTGCCACTGAGTGAAATGTGCCCTGAGGCCAGTCCACCTCGTAGGTCTCAGAGGATTCGACGCGCACCCACCTACCTAAGTGATTACGATTGTTCATGAGTGTTTTTGCTTAGGGGGGAGGGATTTGTAATGTATTCAGATGCTGCCCTGAATGCATGAGGATGAAGTGTGAATCATCCCATAGAGAAGCTATGCTAAGCTTCAGACGTCGGCTAGGATTCGCGCTGAAAGAATTGTGTCCAATCACATTTGAACTGTCTGTGGTGGGAACACTTGTGATTGGGCAAGTATGCGAATAACCTGATAGGTTGAGAATTGTATAGTAGGTGTGGCTACATTAGCCCGGAATGTTTAAATACCGAACCACTGCAATGAAAGTTGGTTCGGGCTATCAGATGTTGTACCGTGTCAGAGAAGTTGATCGTCGAGCTGAAATAAACCTGAGTTTTGCTGAAATCACTCTCTGGCTATTTTGTTGAGCACGGACTTAACACCACTCCTCTGCATGCAGCCAGCTTGGTGACCTTGGGTCAGTCACAGTTCTCTCAGAGCTTTCTCAGCCCCGTCTACCTCACAGGGTGTCTGTTGTGGGGAGAAGAAGGGAAGGAGATTGTAAGCTGTTCTGAGACTCCAAGTGAAGGACAGGGTATAAATCCAACTCTTTTCCTCCTCCTCCTTCTTTTCCTCCTCCTCCTCCTCACAGAAACTCACCTAGATTACTGTAATTTATTTGAAATATAATTGGGATATGCAGCTCCTTGCCCTGCAGGGTAATAAAAATTTGTGTGCAGACCTGTAAAATGTTTGGGAGGCAGTGGTCCAGTATGCAGAGAGGCAGTTTCTCAGTCCATAAGCAATATTATTTCAGAGCCACTGAAAAAATTATTTTATTTCTGTTATGTATAGTCAGCCCTTGTCACTCAAGGCAATTTATGCAGAATAAGTCAGTATGATCAACAGGATGGGGTATCCAATAGACAGTACAGTAGGATTTGGAGTGTAGAGATCTAGAACCAACCGATCAGAAATCTGAATGCCTGTGGCTTCATAATAGTAGAATAATATGGTAATGTCAGAATCCTGGTTAAATCAGTCCTCACCACCATTCACTTCAAAGAAAGTTTAGTTTATTGAGACATTGATAGATACCATACTGGACACGAGCTTTGTTAGGACTGACGGTGAAAGTGTGAAGATTGCAGATATATTGTGTTCAAGCAAAGGCACTAAAGATCAGGACCCAATCACCCCATGGTGTTTGTCCACCAGAAAGAACAGTCAACTACCCCCCCCACTAAGCATGTACCCCTCTACAGAAATAAAGCAGAACAACAGGTCTCTGTGACACAGTGTCTGGTACATCAAAGCATTTAGGAAAACAAAAGCATTTCGGTCTTCACACCCCTCTCCCCCTCTTCCTTCCTCTATGGCAGGTGAACTATAAAATGCATAGTGAGCCTGACAGTTAATTCAGAATCATAACCAGGTCTCAGATACATACACACACTGACAAGCATAAAAGACATGGATTGCTTCACTTTGCCGGGTGCAAGGAGCTTTCTCAAAGTGGCCTTTAGTCACAGCCTTGAATAGAGGATGAAGGTTTCTATTATCCCCGACTAAGACCTGGGGATCAACAGCACTGTACTGAATTCGTAGCATCAGCAACTGATTCCCTTCCTTGTAGAATGTTACAATGACTCAGAGCCTGATGATGTCAGACTCCTGCAGCAATCAGTTCCCAACAGCTTTCATTCAAAGAAGTAAGTTTATTGAGACATTGAGCATATGCAGATATCTTAACCGTTTTGTGTTAGAACTGAAGAAAAGTGTGTGCAGCAAACAGACATACATTATTCAAGAAGGACCTGTGATGGCCCAGGGCCAATCAGGGATCAGGTAGAAGCCCACCAAAGTAACGGGCTACTTTTCCCAAGAGAAAGACTACACCAGGCACTGAAGGTCATACAGAGATAATAGAAACATAGGAGCCACAGCTGAAATGAAACTTAACATCCCAGGGTCACCCCACTCCCATGGCAGCCAGGGCTTGAGAAAGGCCTAGCTGACAGATGACTGGATGGAAATGTCCTTAGGTCAGATTGTTGTCCCAAGAAATGACTTGGAAAGATTTGTAGGGTGTGAAGCTTTGATTGATTGAGTAACTAAAACTTTGTATGACAGGGCAAATCGGTGGAACTGAAACTTAAGAGCATACTTGCTTGTTTGCTTTTTTGAGACTGTCTTTCCTTCTAAAGATAGAAGACTTTGCTTATCAAGTTATCTTATATTTCACTGTCTCAGAGGCTCTCACCCACAGATGTAGGTGATAGGCATGTTTATTGAAATGTAATTGATTTAGATAATTCATTTTTGTCTACACTGCAAGACTGTCACTACTTCCACAAGGTTTTCCCTACCTGTCCTATGTTTGTTTGGCAGTCACACCCCCTGGCATGGTACCCCAATAGGCACCCAGGGCCTCAAACTATGAGCTCTGCAATGGCTCCCAGAATTATGAAGTCTGCTGGTTAGAGAAATGAACTGCAGTGTTCACTGTTAGGGACAACCTCAGAGAAGAGTTACTTATCATTATTGAACAGCTGCAACAGAAACATATTTAACAATGTTTAATTAATGTAATGAAGACATTTGTGGATGGAGGAGCTAATGGTAGGATGGGGTGGATGGGGGAGCTAATACACACATGTATGAACATTCTAGTAACAAACATGTTGGACATGGATCTGCAGCATCTCTGAAAAAGTCAAAAGATGGAAAGTGTTTTACCAGGGACAGGTAGGAGAAAATAAGGACCATTTAACATGAAAGAGCAGGCAAGTCCAGCTGGGAAACTCCTGCAACAAGCCAGAAGCTTCTTTGGCCAGGTAGACAGGTGACACCAGAGGGCCTATTCAATGCCACCCTATGCTGTAGAGCTTCTAGAACTGTTGCCTTCCAGAGTTGAAGGAACGTGTTGCTGGAAGAGACCCTGAGAGTCACCCTCTGACCTGCTACACTACAGATCTATGGGTTGCTCCAGTCTGACTCACTGTAGCCAGCCAGACCTTAGGCCTGAGTACCTCTAGAATCGGGGTCATACTGGCACCACCACAGAAGTAATGAAGTATTGCTTCCATTTTTTTGTCAAAAACCAATCCTTTTACAAACCCTCACTTGGGAATAACAGCAGAGGAAGCTGAGGGGTATTTTTTATCTTGTCCAGCAGAGGGCTCCCATATTGTATTTCCATCTGAATAGTAACTCCAGCTATGATGGGAAAGTCATTCCATTGATATGAGTGTACACAGAAGTGTGTATTTTATATTTTTAAAAGGCCTACCTGTTATAGAACTAAAACCATTTGTTTGTTTGTCGTTCAGGCTGTAGTATAGCAATATGCTACGCAGCACATATATTGATCCTAAACAAATTATTTGGAAATAAATCCTATTGAACTCTATGCAATTTACATCCTAGTAAATGCTTTTCGGTCAGGGTATTACTCTCTACTAATACACAGGCAAATATTTCTTATTTCATGTTAAAATGTAGTTGTCTGCAAATACTTTGTGGGAATGCCTTTCATCTCTGCCTTTTGTCTAACAGCTGAAAGTTAACTGGTAACCCTTCAGGAATATCCTGCCCAATGCAGGGAAAACAAGAACACATGTTCAGAAATTCTACAATATGTTGTTCCCAAAATTGTGTATCAGGCTATTTTACACTTCTGGCACAGTTACATTGGAGGGATTGCTGCCATGCTGCCACCTTATACAGCATCTATAAAGGCTATGAACTATGACTGCAAAGCTGGACTGTGAAACAAGTGTGCCAGGGCATGGACTGAACAGTAGCCATGAGACAATGCCACTCTACTGGAATGTAGGCATGTGCCCAGCCAAGGAAAACCTTGCTCTGAAACAACGTGCCAAGCCAGACATGGGCCCATGGAATACCTGATGCCTCTCGCACCTGCACCTCTGCAGCAACATGCCAGAAGGCAAACCAGCCTCCAAGACCCAGTGATACACGGAACCAGCAGCAATTCACTAAGAGAAGCCTTGTTCTGCACAGGGAACCAGGACATTCCTGTACAGACGCCATGAAAAAGTCTCTTCTCCAGCATGCAGGCATCTCCCTCCCTTTACATATTAACATCACGAGATGTAGCACGTACTCCTCTTCAACCTAAACAAAAGAACGTACTCAATAAGGAGATTGACAAGCAGTCACGTCCTCCAGCCACCCATCCACATAATGCCACTGTTAATAATCGGATTGTTAAGACCGACTACTGGTTATGGGACTGGAACATTACTATTCTTTTTTTCCCTTTTGTCTCTATCCATCCCACTAAGAGGTGTCACTATTAGTCAACCATTATTTCAGTTGCCCAACAATTAATCCCTTTTTCCTGACCCATTAACAGCTAGATTTGTTTGTATATTCCTGGGGACTATGTGACCAAGGAGGCATCAGCCTGAGGTTACTTTTAGGATATAAAAGGAGAGCACCATCCCATTGCTCTCTCTCTCTCGTTTCTTACCTTCCTACTCCTACCCTAACTTGCTGGTTCCATTCTTAGTGCTGTTTGGAACCTTTCACATGTGTTGCTGGCCAACTCACAATCCCCTTCCCATAGTTTCCTTATTTTTCACTGCAGAATCAACTCATCGCATTGGACAGGTAACGTATTGCCCAACCAACGATATCTCCTTCTAATGCAACTGTCTCTGTACTTTTCTATCTGAATTCCTAGATCTGTATTGTGTGTGTGTGCTTGATTTTATATTGTATGTGTGAGAATTCTTCTAGTAAAGAAATCACTGCTTTAGTACTCAGTGTCTATTTCTGAGATCTGGAAAAACGGACTCCCGTATACATAGGTTATTGGCCCCATAGTCAATGCCTATTGCTATTTAATATTCATATTCCCCACATTTATTAAGAAATAAGGCAATTTGGCTAACAGGATAGGTGGGACTGTAGAATAACCAGTATGCGAAGGGAATGCAGACAAGATTTTTATGGGACTAAAGGGCTTCTTAGAAACATCTGTAGAAAAAGAAATGATAAAGTTGAAGAGTAGTCCCAGAGAGAACAATGTGCAGATTTATGCCAGTGCTCTGGGTGGGGGAAACACACAGGGTGCTTCTGTGAATATTACCGTCAGAAGCTGGGACTGCTAGGTTAGACTCCTAAACCTTGATGTCTTCCAATGTCCTTTTATAGGAAGTCTTTATGGCCTGGGACAGAAGGAGAAGGAAGTTGTCCTGTAACTTTTCTGTCCCATGCTAGGTGTCTCCACAGCTTTGCAGAGAACCAGAGCACTCCATGTGACTACTGTATAGCATATCTTATTATAATAATATCTTATATCTAATAGTCAAGTGTGGCATCATCTGTGGATACACAAAGGCATAAAAGAGATACATCTGCAGACTTGGGAGACACCCTAGGTTTGCAGAAAAATCTGAAAACATAAAAAAATTCATTGAAGGGTTTAAATCCACCCAAGAAAAAGTGTGTTCTCTGACAATACACCCACCTCCTCTGTTGCTGCCAGAGGCTGGGAACATCGGTGGCAATAGGAGGAGTATCTGTACTGGGCCTGCTGGCAGAGGCTGGGAGCCACACTGGGCTCAGGGGTGGCAATGGTAGGGGAGCCAGGAAGCCAAGCCAAGCCCAGCAGCAAAGGTCAGGAACTGTGCTGGGCCCAGTATTAAAACTGATAGAGTCAGGGTGCTACAATCTACCCAGCAGAAGAGGGCAGGAGCCATGATCAGGCAGCAATGATGGGGGAGCCAGGATGCCAAGCCAGGCCTGATGGCAGAGGCAGGGAACTGTGCAGGACCTAGTTGTTGAGAAATGGACTAATTTATGGTTTTATATCTCATACACACGCAACACATGGACTGTGCACACATATCTGTATACCATGAGCCTAAAGAAAGCTGTCTGCATCACCTACTGTGAGAGCCTTCACATAGGGAACACTTGCCTGCATTTTATGTTAATGTAGCTTGCACACATTCAGCTCAAGGCATTATGGGAAGGAGAAGCACATGTTAGCCATTGTGAGCAGAGGCAACAACCAAGAAGGAGAAATTCCCCCATTACTGAAGAGACTGGTTGTCACGCAGAACACGGACCTGATATGCATCTGAATTGCCATTTCCTGTTGATGGTACCTTGTAGGCCTGGGAAAGCCAAGATTCATCTGTACTTCAAAGAGGATGCAGGAAGCCAAGACTTCACACCTAGCCAGATGGTATTCCATGAGATAAGAGCGTAGTATTTCAAATATTGACCCAACCCATAGAATACCTGCCCCTTTTCACATGCACCAATAAGGGAAGCTATGGGATGGACTTGTACGTAGGTGGGATTACAGTTTGGCAAGGTGCCACCCACCTGGAGATTCAACTATAAAAGTGAAGACCCAAACCCTAGGTCTTTGCTAGCCATCTTTCTTCTCCACGGCCTCTATCTTCTTTACTACCTATAAGGTCCAGCTTTCTATCCAACAATCCCTTTGTCTACTTTAAGATCTCTTGGAACTGCAGCCAGAGAGGTCCATACTTGCTTAGCTGGTTCTAGCGAGTGTGATTTAGCTTAAACCCCTAGGTATCACTTTCTACCCCATTCCCATTGCAACAGACAAGACTTCTGGAACAGGCGAGTATAAACCAATTTACCTACCTACCTCCTAAGTAACTAAACTATTTTATTTCTGTAACTCTAAAGGAAACTTGAAGTGAGACTGATGTTTTTGTGTGTATGTGACTTTGATATCCTTCAGTAAAAATATTATCTGTTTTGGAAAAACACCCGTGTGGTCTCAATTACTGGAACTCTGGGTTCAGACACGACCTTGGTATAGCTAGCCAGGACTCACGTTAAATTTAGTTAGCCTCTGCTGTAGATAAAGCAGTTGGTGTAACATTGTGGTAGTGAGAGTGGGGAGGGGCAAGGAGCCACACCAGGGCCAACAGTGGAGGCCAGGAGCCATGGCAGCCTTGGGAGTGAGTGATTGTAGGTCAGGAATCAGAGTGGGCCCAGGGTCAGCCATGGGAGGGGGTTGGGATCCCCCCACAAGTATTGCAGGTCACCACTTGTTACATATATAACAATAAACATTTTTTTACATTACCAGAGTACCTCTGCACATGTGGGTATCTCTCCCACTCACTACTGAACATTAGCCAGCCCTTGTGTACCTGGAGTGAGGGGATGGACTTCCACCTTTTAACTTCCACAGGAAGCACAGCACCTCAGGCTGGAAAGTATTATTGTCCTAGTGCCTGGAGAATAGCAAGTCCCATGAAGCTGGCCCCACTGTGGCCAGCATGTTTGTTTCCTGGGTGTCTTCAGTGCTGACATTAGTGGTTTTACTTTCTCTTCCCTGTGGCTGGCAGCTTGCTCTTCTCCAAGCACTGTCTGAAGGCTGGACTGAGAGTGCAGAGGCTGTGAAGAAAGTTAGCGGGATTTTTGGAGAGGAGAGGCATTTTGCTTCCATTTCTAGCACAGGGCTTGCAGCTCAGGTAGGCTTGCAGCTTACCCATCCTCCAATCCCTCCAGCAGCAGCTGTTTCAAGGTACAAACCACTTGCGAACCACAAACGCTGCTAGACAATGGCCTTGCCCACTATCCTAAAACCTGAGGCAGGGGCCATATTGGGGATACTGCTCAGAACAGCCACAGGTGGCATGCCAAAGAGCCCCATGTGGCTCTTGAGCCACTGACTATCACTACAGTAAGGCATAGGCATTATGAGGCCCTTTGCCTTCAGCGGGCTGAAATGCACCTGTATTGTGGCCTCTGAATTTATATTCTCTTTGTTGTGTACCTGGGGAAACCCGCCCACGTGGTCAGGCAAACATGCGGTCAAGCTAAGGACCTGAGCTTCACTTCCAGAGACAATAGCCTAAACGGATCCTAGCGTGCACCTATGGGGAAGCTAGGATCCTAGAAGCGACCTTGGGGACCTAGAAGCGTCTTGGGGTTGCACTGTAAATATCTAATCACGAGTATGTGTGTGTGGATGTAGTGTGAGTTGCAAATATAAGCTGGCCTGTGAGCCGGCACAGGTATCTCTTATTCTTCCATCTATAATAAAGTATGAGCTGAATTCACTACGCTATGCATCAGTCTCAGTACTTTATACTGGCGACGAAGGTGGGATCTCAATGAGTGAGCCAGACTCTACCGACAGCCCAGCATCGAGCACCGCTCTGCAGGACTCCGTGCCTTGCATTGCTCACGAGCAGCACCGCAATGTGCCCCGCTCCCCAGGACATTGCTCCCCGCTCCGCTCGAGAGTCATGGCTGTCGCTCCAGGACACCTCACGGTCTTCGACCCCACTCACCCCGAGTTCTGGGAATCGTGAGTAGACCAGCTCATGAGTTTCCTCACCTACAACGAGGTCACCGACGCAGGCAAGAAATGGGACCTACTCCTCAGCACGTGTGGAGTGGCCACCATCCGCCTCACCAAGAGCCTCCTGGACTCCAAGAAGATTGTGGAGAACACCTATGAGGAGATCATCGCAACCCTCACCAAATACTATGCGCCAAAACCCACCATGCTGGCCAACCGCATGAACTTCCAGGCTCACCTTCAG